AAGGTGCAAAGAAAGATGCGAAAGGTTCAAAGAAAGATGACAAGAAGAAAGATTCAAAAAAGGATGCAGAATCTACAGATGCTGAATCTGGAGACACAAAGGATGCAAAAAAAGATAAGAAACCTTCAAAGAAAGACAGCAAGAAGAAAGATGGAAAAAAAGACGTAGCTCCTACTGATTCTGAATCTGAGGTAGAGTCAAAGAAGGGTAAGAAAGATGACAAAAAAGAAAAGAAAGATAGCAAAACAAAAGCTGCCGCAAAAGACTCAGTTTCTACTGATCTTGATACTGAATCTGAGGGAGATGCCAAAAAGGGCAAGAAAGATGATAAAACTAAGAAAGATTCAAAGAAAGCTGACAAGAAGCAAGATGCAAAAAAGGCTGCAGAGTCTACTGAAAGTGAGTCTGAATTAGAATTAAAGAAGGGCAAGAAAGGTTCAAAGCAGGAAAAGAAAGCTTCAAAGAAAGACGCAAAGAAAGAAGCAAAGAAGGACACAGACTCCACTGATATTGACTCAGATAAATCACTAAAAACAGCTGCATCTAAAAAGGGTGCTGTTGACTCAGATGCCACATCTACAGATTCCAGGAAGGGAGTATCTGAACTGAAGAGAGGCCTTAGAATGTCATCTAAAAAGACGACGTTCAGTGAAAAGGGGAAAAAACCAAGTACAGGTAGAGTTCCTCCATCAAGAGAAAGACCACCACTGCCTCCTTGTGAGCCTTTTCTACCTCTACCTAGGATCAAACGTCTCTGTCAGTGCCAGGTGCCTCCTCCACCTCCAAAACCAAGATATGCTCCTTTGGTATGTTTTTTTTTTCTGCTTGTTTTATAGGTCAAATCAGTTTTTAAGATGAAATATATTTTTAAATTTTAAATGTATTCAGTAGACCTGCCCATTAGCTCAGCTGTTTAAGTGATTGCTTCAACAAAGCAGTCAGGCTCAGAATGCTGTGGTTCCATCCCCAGATAGTCAAACCATTCCAGACCTACTGTTAAGGCATCTTGAGCCATCAAAAAAAATGGGGCTGGGGAGATGGCTCAGTGGAATAAGTGCTTCGCTGGCAAGCACAAGGGCCTGAGTTCAATCCCCAGTTCCGCAAAAAGAAAAAAAAAAAAAAAAAAAAACAGATTCTACACCCCCCCAAAAAAAATCCTTTGGAAGTTTAAAAAAATTTTTTTAAAAAATGCTTCCATTCTCTGAAGAATAGTTATCTTTCACTTTTGACAAATTTGAGACTTAGCATTAAAAAGATAGTTTGCTTCAGAGTCACTCATAATATTTGTAATTAAATTTTAAACTTTTAAAAGACCAGTACATAAACTCAAATATTACCTGGTTTCTACTATGTTGGGAATCTAAAAAAAAAAAAAGCAAACAAAAGAACCACAAAATAGAAGATAATGGGATATAAGGAGATTGATCTTTCATGAAAAAGGACCAAAAAATTCAGGGAGAGGATGAGAAGGGGATAAAAATCTAATTGAGATGTGTTATGTACATGTATCAACTCTCAATGATAAATAAAATCATTAGGTACTGCAAATATATACTAATTAAAAATAAAAATTGAAAAAATGTAGAACAGACTGCAGTATACAGGTGACTTGTGACTACAGAGAAGTAATGTGACTATAATTTTTTAAATCACTAGAATAATTTTACAAAAATTATTTTTCTATACTAAGCAAAAACAGAAATAAAAATTTAATGAAATTCCTACAAGAGCTTTTAAGTGAAATATTACCTGAGAAGTTAGTAAAATTGAGCAAATCTAAATTAATTAAATTCTAGACATAGTAAAAATGCAGCATACCAAGTTTAAGATGTGTAAATTTTAAGTTTTTTTTAATCTGCATGTAAATTAAAACTGTTGTGCATCCTTCTCGTTGTTGATACCAGAAAACAAAAGTTACCTTTCCAGAAGTAGATAGCACTCCTTTGCTTCTAACAAACTCAGTCAGATTTACTCTATCACTGTGAATGTAATTACTCTCAATTTATAACATATTTTTGTTATCTAACAAATAAACTTTTATATCCCTTTCCTAAGTAGTCTGGTTTTGTAGGGAAAGATAGATAGACATTTCAATATTTATTTATTTATTTTTGCGGAACCGGGGATTGAACTCAGGCCCTTGTGCTTGCCAAGGAAGCCCTTATTCCACTGAGCCATCTCCCCGGCCAACATTTCAATTTTTAAAGAATTCCTGATCCACAATGAAGTGTTGATCTCCCTTTCAATCTCTCTCTGCTATTTGTTGAAGAGTAATCCATCCTAATGTTTTCTGAACATCAGAGTGTTTCCTCTGCTTTCTCTGTCTTTGTTGTCTGTTATCAGAATAGTAGAACTGATGCACTATGCTATGATAGACTCTGGAGATCTGTAACTATTGCTGGGTATTGATATTAAGCTTATCATATTCATTTTTCCCTTTTTGTCTTTCTCTTTTTCTCTTACATCACTACCTCTCTTCCTTCTCCTTGATCTTTTCTTTTTTTTTTTTTTTGTACCAGGTATAAAATCAGGTCTTGTGTTTGCCAGGCAGGCACTCATTCTGCTGAGCTATTTCCCAAGTCCACCATGATCCCTTCTTTCTCTTTTTCTTTCTCTTTCTCCTCATCATACCTCTTTTCCTTTTCTTATTTGTCTTACTTGAACTGTTGATGCTGCCTCTTCTAGTGTGATGGGGAATTTCCTTTACCTTAAAAACTAAATTTTATCTATATTTTCTTTATAATAACACTATGTACCTCACTCTATTTGCATTTAATAAGTTAACTTTATTTTTGGAAATTAAAACTATATTTTTAGTTTCTCAAAAGGCCTGTGTTTGAAGTCTATTTTCTTTCAATTTTCTGATTAAGTGTGCTTTGAGAAAGAGCAGATGAATAATCTTGCTATAGCTTCTGTCAACTTTAAGAAGTGCATCAATGGGTGGGAGGCAGTAGGAAGGAAGAAAATTTGCAAGAAGTGAAAATACACAGAAGATAACTTTCAAAATACATTCATAAGAACACTTAAACAGCTAGATTGTTTTTTCAAGTCAGTTTCAAGTGAAATATAGATGAAGAAATTGTTATCAAGTGTTAATATTTTTTTAATAAGGAAGAGCATTGTGTTAATGCATGCCAAGTCTACGTCTTAAACTTTCTATGGGCATTAGTAGTCCAGCTAGACATTTTCATCCTTGCCACTTCACTGATAACTTATCTTTCAGTGATTACCAATGAGAAGGAAAAACTCATATGAAGAAAAAGACAAATGAAAATTAGAAAAAGATAGATTTAGGTATATATGCAGGAAAAAATTAGATAAATATACTGCCAATTCTAGCTGGTCTTTTGAAAGGAGAAGTTAATGCTTTTCATTTCTTTTTTAAATTTTTAAAACATTTTTGTTAGTGTTCTGTTTTTTTCTTTAAATCAATCCTACATGTTTATATCTGATAATGTGAGCAACTAACTTAAAGATAACATCATTCAATATAGCAACAATTGTTGAATTCCTATTACTTTGTTTAGTGAAATACTGCATCATTTCTCATTCTGTTTTCTATCACTGTCTTGTAAAAAAGATTAATAAAAGAAAACATTTACCCCTAATAGAAAGGCTACCAAATACACACTTTCATCCATACCCACTGTTTGTCTTCTCCTCTTGTCTTAGTCTGTAATCTAACAGAGTTTATACTAAATTATCTCAAGGAAGCATATGCTTTACTTCATATCTATGATGCTTTTCTTTCCTATTTTTATCTCTACTATGTGCTAGGTTTTAATCATATTTATTGCATTTTCTACTGTCCCCTCTTCTATTGATGGAATGACTCACAGCTTTCTCCTTGACCTACTTTACGTACAATGTATCATTTTGAGTTGGTACAATCTAATGGCTTTAAATACCATTTACAATTTTATGACTCAAAAATTAATCTATGGTTCTCATCTTCCCATGGAGTTTCACATTCTTAATCTAATTGTTTGTAGAAAAATTCCACTGTAAGATCTCAATCTGACATTTTTCAACACCACTTTTACTTTCATTTTTAAAAATAATTTTATTGAGAAATAAATGACAATGAAACAGTTTCAAAGTAGATTACTAGCACTGTTTCAATAATTAATACATTGCATATTAATGTCTTAGTGGTTATTCATTGTGCAAGATGCAGACATGATATCCTGTCCACAAACACTATTCAGACAAATCTCTCTATTCATTGAATTAAGAGAATGCAGCTGTATATCTATTGTAAATATTTTGAATATAAAGATACAAAATGGTCGTTCATTTGTACCCTCCTTTTTTGGTTAGCTTTGTCAGAGAAGGGTGTTCCATTATCATTTAAATATTGTAGGTGCATGAATTCAGCAGTATATTCCAATATAGTTCAATAGTCCATAATAGTAGTGGGTTTTCTGTAGCACTGGCAATGTCTGAAGTTGTTGACTTAAGCCTTTTACAGCTCAGCATATTAATATGGCTTTACTTCAACACCACTTTTAATCTACTGCAAAATAGTTTCCTCTTCCAGGCTTCACTGTCATTTTAAATGTCAAAATTTTTCAACCAACTGATCTTTCATATATTATTTTATTTTAAAGAAGCAAAAATAACAAATAACAAGAACAAAGACAAACATCAAGTAACATAGATCTTTTAATACATGGATGTAATCAGTGTTTTGCATTTTTCTCTCTTCTTACATGTTATCATTCAATAAGATGTGGCTACATTGCCACCAAAATGTATCACAAACGAGTCCTCTTTTCCACATCTCTGTCATTACCATATTATGGTCCAACTGACATCATCATTATCATTTTTTCTGGACTACTGTGAAAGTTTTCTGTGACCCTATCTGTCTTAGTTACTCTTCTCTCATTGCTGAGACAAATATCTGACATTCACAATGAGGGAAGGAAGGGTTTATTTAGTTCACAGTTTCTGAAGGTTTCATAATTTGAAAAACCCTGAATTACTTAGCAACACATTGGACCTTATTTGCTCAGGAAAGAGAGTCAATGCCTGTGTCTTCTCCAAATAGCTCCTCTCTACCTGAGATGGCTTCAATCACAGAAACTGGTGCTCCATGCTACAGGGTCTGGAGGAGAAGCTGGAGAACTATCGTGTCCAGGATGACCTGCTCTGCACCTCCAAGAGAACCTGCAAACTAGGGAGACAGCACCTATTGCCAGTTTAATAGTTCTTGACTCTGACCCTGCCCCTCAAGCCCCGCACTGGTCCTCTGTCTCTACCCCACAAGTCATGTGTTGATCCTCCATATCCACCCCATGACTTGTATAAGGCTTTGTGAGGACAACTAGACACAAGCTATAACAGTATCCTATACTCTTTACAATATTTTAGTGATTTCCACTGCATGGAGAACCAAAGTGAAATTTCTTATCTGGATTTTAGTGACAACATTATCTAGAACAAAATTTTTAAAATTATTTTATTGAGAAACAAATAGCAATGAGAGAGTTTTAAAACAGATTAGTAGGACAGTTTCAATAATTAATATATTGTATATTGCTCTCTTCATACTGGTTTGTCATACTACAAGATGCAGACATGATAACCTGTCCAAACACTATTAGTAAAAATCTTTCTTCTTATTGAATTAAGAGATAGCAGCTGTATATCTATCTTAACTATTTTGTATATACAGATACAAAATGGTCCTTCATTTATATCCCCTTTTTTTAGTTTTGTCAGAGATGGGTATTCCATTGCCATTTAAATATTGTAGGTGCGTGAATTCAGCAAAATAATTCAATATACTCCAGTAGTCCAT